ACTTAATCTTTAAGTCTATTTCTGTCTGAGCTTTTTTGTAAACGTATATAGGTTTGCGAATCCCTAAAACAAGGCATTTGCCGCTCTCCACCCAGGTGTTCGGTAAATCATTGTGTCATTGTAACCATGATATTACGCAAATAAATCATCCAATATGTAATCCAGTATGTAATGATGAATACTCCGCAGATTATGCCTCGAAATGCCAAAATCGTTATAGGCCTATATACACGGACAACTGACTGGTAATAAAATACACAATGTATACGAAATTCGATATGATTTTAACCACTGCTAGAGTGCAATTATCATTTGTTTTGACAATACTTCAGCCCTCCTTGGGCACTGGGCTTGCCGAAATTGTGTTCTTATCTTTCACGTCATATCCAATTTTGATCCCGTGTTATTAAATATTCCGGAATCGTTTGCATAGGGGTTCTAATTTGCTTTGACATGAACATTGTTTTAGGCGTAGCGGAAATTGCACACCATGCAGTCTCCATTTTCAGGGTCATTTCGTGGCTTGAAAATGAAAAAGATTGAGAGAGAAACTAGGTTTTCCAGGTGAGCACTAATCTTGAAGTTCAAATGTCAATGTCAATTTTTGCATATTCGAAGAATTATCGTTAGTCAGAAAGGTTGTTCGACAAGGCTTGATGATAATAATGAAGATGGTGACGCTTATGATGAGGATTATACTACTACCAGTTTCGCTACCTCTAACTTCCATACTCTCCCCTCTCCCACTCATTTTTTACATCAAAATATACCGACCCACCCCATGACACGCCCGTGCTGTATCCAGTGTTGTATCTAGGGGAGGGCAGAGGGGGGCACACGCCCCGGGTGGCACTTGAAGCATAGCAATAATTATAGTAGACTCGAAGGGGCGCAAAACGTAAAAGATGGCCAGAAGAGAGAAGGGGCAAAGAGAAGAGAACTTGTGGTCCGATTGATTCGAACTCTAAACCCTTGGATTAAAAGTCAAGTGACACCTCTTTACCACGTCACCTCCCTCTTGAGTAGGGGTGAAAGTTGGACAATCTACCAATCGGTCGCTTTGTTCCCACCCGTATTAAATATTCAATTAACGCACTGGTTACCGCTCTCAAGGAAATACGAGAAATATTATTATGTGTGTATTTGAACTGGGAAATTTATTAGGGTTCAGGCGCCATTTGTATGTTTGCCTGTGCGTTATAATTCCTGGGTAGTACGCCACTGGTCGTATCACAGTATGTTTATAGATAGTACTAAATTATTTATCGTGTATGTTCATCAAGTTGAACAGGTTATGCTCATCAAATATAAAATCTCTTTTGGTGAATTTTTTAAAATGTGAATTATTTTCATTTATCGTCGCTGTTTTCACGAAGTGACGGTAGTAAAAAAATATTGCATTCACTTTGCGTGACGATTTTCCTCACTACCGTTACTTCGTGAAAACAAGGACAGGGTACCTCACTTTTCGTAGGCTTCCTTTCCATATTGCACTTGAAGTTTACCACCCTCCCCCTCCTTCTCTCTATCTCTCTAACATCATCCCCCTCATTCCCTGTCTGTCTCTGTCTCTCTATAACCTTATCTTCACCATCCCTCTATCTCTTTCTTACTGTCGATCTCCTTCCCCTTTTTCCTCTTTCTCTATTCGCTACTCCGAACCTTCTTATTGGGTTAATCAATGGCTCTCTCTCTCGCAATCCACTCTATCTCAATTCCTCCACCACTCCCAATCCCTCCCCATACCCCCCCCCCCCCATCTCTCTCTCTCTCTCTCTCTCTCTCTCTCACTCTCATATTCTACTTCTAACGATGTATAATGTCACACGATAATATTTAATAATACACAATTGCAGCTCGTGTACGGTAATATACAAATTTAATTCTCTTGTATAAAGGCATGTACAGATATGTACAAAGGTCGGTACCACAATGGCCCTTTCATAAATAATAATAGACAAGATAAAAAGCACAACATAAAAGTGATATTAAATCGAGGTAAAACACTAAATAAACCAATTTACCACAGACAAAATCATCATTATAGTAAAAATGATTGATAACCATGATCAAGATAAGAACTAATTAATAATCATCGATCAGGAACAAAAATAATGAAGAAGAAACATTATTCTTGATTGCAAGATAAATCATCTAGTCATAATCAAGCATGCCTTGATTACGTATCCGAATATACGATTGGAACAGATATTGTAATCAAGCAATAAATTGCCCGCCAAAAGGTCGCATTTACGAATGGTCTTATTTTAGATGTGTTACGACCTTTTGGCAGACAATCGAATGTAATAGCTGCCTAATTGGTTTAAAGTCATTAATGTAGGTTATGCGGTATAATCATGCATCATTGTCATAACAAGAAATTTCTAATCAAAATACTGAGAACGGTACAGCTTATCAGTAAATTTAACTAAATTACATTCAAGTCATAACAGAGAAAAGTAATCAAATATCATGAATGAAAAACAACGAAAGAAAAACGATTGTTTCAACGAAACTGTTCAGAAATATTATTAACTAACTTATGAAAACAAAACGCTGTAGCTCCATTCTTTAGTCATCGAAAAGCAGCAAGCTTTATCAAATTTTCTATACGATTTCAGTACATGATTTGTTTTTGCTAAAATATTATATAAAAATACACTTTTCAAAACTCTGTAAAATTGTTGTTTACATGATTTATTCAAAATTTTAAAATCTTAAATATGTTTTACAAATCTTTATCTATGCAGGTTGAAATATATATTCTCGTTATTATCAACTTAAATTACCATCTAATTCAAAGCCTGAAAAACGTGTCACTATGAGTCAAGTATTCTATTACGATATGTGGAATCAAGTACAACTCTCTACATAATAAAATACACTTGAAAACGATCGCATATGATCAGAATACATTGTGAAAACGTGTCAGAATACAATGTTACCATAATTTCCGCCGTGTGTAGATATTTTAGAAAACAGAATGATTGAATGTTGAATTCACATATAGAGAGAGTATAATAAGTTAAACGGTAAAACAAACAACAGGTCCATCTCAGAGAACCTGAAAAGAGAAGCAAAAAGTTTTTCCATTCGAACATTAACTGTTGAATGTCCTCGTTATGAGCAAAATCTATGAGCAAAATCCATGCGCATCAAGGGGAAAGGGTAGATAGAGAGAGAGAGAGAGAGAGAGAGAGAACAAAAATCATTTATCCTTTCGTAATAAGACTCTTCCTTCATTGGAAAAGAAAATGAAACCGAAATCACAAAGAATCAAAAACTCATTATCCGAAGATAAAGAAATTATTTTTCTTCATCGGCGTCCGTTTGAGATGCAAATGCGGCCGGCGCCACGGCGTATACACCGCACCGCTACCAGCCAAATTAGAGATGATATGTGAGGGAGAAAGAAAAGATGAGGATGAAAGAAAATTGAGGAATGGAAAATGATCCTAATGAAAAGTCCGGACATGATATGGCATCATAGAAGAGATTCAAATCAAAGAGAGAATACACATCGGCTTAATAAGGGGCGAAGTATGAAAGATAGGCAACTCTGACGGCATGAACGGAATGGCGCTAGGCGGCGAACTCAGACAAAGGATAAATGACTCGGTAGGAATTTAAAACAAAGTCCGAATTAGGACGTAATCATTTTGTAGTTCGGTTCAACGGGATAACTTTTAAATGACAATACTGAAATGTCAACATGCATGGCTGATATTCCAGCCGTAGAGTTTAAGCCAGAACTTCTCTGGACATGGACAGGAGTGGAATCCACTCGACTATGAATTCACTCTTTTAGGTATGGACTCGTAGTCTCTTAATTCTGGAGTGCAAATTCACCTCAAAACAGCCGAATTCACTCTCAGATTAGTAATTTCAAACCTCAATTTTGGAGTTGTTTGAACTATAACCAAAAAAAAATCACTGGTACCACTCCTGCGAGTCTGGATTTGAAATCCTTTGCATGCACCTAGAGTGGAAATGCAAAAGGAACAACACAACGATTGCTTTGCTAAGTACCCAATCATCTTTAATAATTTAAACAGGAAACGATGCTGATCGTTAATCAATTTAGAGAATAAGTTGGTGATGACTTGGGGTATTGGTCGAATAGGAATTCCGTGAAACGAGCAAAACATGCTCATTAAATTGCTTGAAGTAGTATCACCCAGGAAAGCACGTCTCAATTCTGATTCAGAATATAATTTGTCAGTCTATAGCATCTGGGCAAATACAAAGGCACTATGAAACAATAACTAACCATAATGCCCAACAATGTAAGAGAGTGATTATATCAATACTTTGTCCATGAAACCCGAATGATTCATCGATTTACATCACCTCTACATCGCTCTACATTTCCAATTTGGCAACGTTGTGTCCAATTTAAAACATCTTCTTACCCGTTTCATAAAAAATAAATATATTCACCATCATGCTCATGATTAAAACAAAAAACATAATACTTAAGTACTCTTCAAAAAGAAGGTGTTCAATAATTATCGTAAGTTTTTGTAATATATTCAGTTTTGATTTCAAGTCGTCAAAATGGCGGATAAAATGTTGCCTGATTGTTACGTCAGTATCGATTTTGTCGCGTATTTTTGTCCGATTCTATTTTTTTCTTATCAACCATTGAAATCTTGTTAACTATAATTTTGCGAATCGTTATTTTGCTCATAGTAACATTACTTGTGTGGAATCATGCTCCAGGTATTTAAAGCGACACCACAAACTATACGATCTGACTACGACCCGATTTTGGAAGGACTCGCAATAGCAATTGACTCGGAACATTTAAACCTGTATTAACTTAGTTAAAAATACATAAATATAAATAATAGAATAAAAATGTCAGCAGACTGCAAGTTTCCTTGATGGAGTAAAAATTAATATCGGCTCCGAATCGTAGTGACGTCGTTTCAGTTGTGCGATTGTCTACGAATTGAAGCCGATTTGGCTTTTATGCCGACTAGAAGGCTTAGGTTTTCTTTTTCGATTGCTGATGTTTATTTCGTTATTCAGAACCTCATTCAAGAAGACGATTATGATCAAATTTCCATAGCCATTGCAACTGCGATTTCTATTTAAAAAATCGATCGTAGAAGCGTCGCATTGTATGCGGTGGACTTTAATTGGCGTCCTCTCCTCTCCATGTTCGCTGTAATCCTAACACGAGGCGAGATCGAAGCAGAAGGCCGTCAAATGCCAAACTTGCGAGGAAACGCCAAAACAGCCCTCGCGGATTTCGTATTTTAAGAAGCCCTAAAACCACAATCGGGATTATTCTCCAAGCATATACCCTGTGACTCAGAATTGTCAAAATAAACAGGATTCGAGGCTCAACCTGTGTTGCCTACTTTTCGCATTTTAAGCATTGCCTGATTGACGTGCAATGTTGTCCAAATCGCGCGAGCAAAACAAAGGTGGGGCAAACGTATTGTCAGTGTGTGATTAAAATGTCAGCATTGAAACGACACAATTTTCCTCGTAAATGTCATCCCAATTTAAATAACCGCACCCATTGAGAAGAAAAAAAAATGAAAAACGTAGTTAATCTTTATCCGAATTTTGCTTTCTCCGAAGAGGGCTTTATTTTTTATTCCAGTCCGTTGTAATTCATATTTGATGGGAGAACGTCCTATTATTACATAATAACATATCATACCATGTTAATATGTCGTTTGAATAATTATAACTCTTAATAATGTTTTTAAGGGAGAGAATAACCGCACACTCCTATTTCAAATCAGGGGCTTAAGTTTAACTCTTTTTTTTGGGGGGGGGGGGGGGGAGGGGGGCTTTGAAGCGACACCCAACAATTTCACGGAAGACCGGTGACGAAATTAAGGGTGTGTCCGATTGTCAGACAGTCACACTTGGCAGGTAGAGAGAAACGCTCCACTATTAGCCTACATGCAGAAAACAGGGGGTAATTATTTCTGAAACAATAACCGCATCGCTCAACTTCCCATTTTCACACGTTAAAATAGAATATTACCGTTAGAATGACCACAATCTATTGCAAGAACTATACAATACGCCGTGGTATATAATATTCTGGACTATATAGAGGTTATGACAAAATTTAACAAACGTTTGGATTAGAGACTAATACGATTTTTATGGTTAAGGGTGTGGCTCTGGGAAGCCATTAAATCTTTTGAGCCGTGTTCTGAAGCCAAATTCCTTGAACAATGACACAGGAGAGGCCATTGCCAAGGTGATAATTACAAGAAATAGATATTTCCGATGTCATTAAATCATCACTTTTCACCTCTTTTGCTTTCATTTTGAATCTAATAACTATTGATTTAACGGCTATTTCTTGTAATAGAGTGTTCCTAACTTCATTGCCCAGTTCCTAACCCCTTCCAAGCTCAGCTGTGTATCATCGTATTTCGAATGTTCCGTTAGCCATTAATTTATGATTCGAACAAGGTTTCAGGAAAAGGTAAAACGCAGTATTTACTACTTTCAACGCAAAGCATAAAACGCATAACTTATTTTTTTTTTAAATAAACCAACCAAAAACACAAACAGTGGAAAATATCTCGCATTTCAACAGGAAATTAAGTTCGGCAGTAAATGTAAACAAGGAAATTGTGAATCGTTGATTCTCAGATCGGACATATTGATAGATTTATAGCTTAAGATAACCAAGTTAAGAAAAAAGAAACTAAAAAGGAAAAAACAAAACAACCAAAATCGAAAAGGTTTTGACGCAAAGGTGTCACTTTCAATTTGTCCAAGAATAACTTTTGATCAAAAAGTGACACTATACTCGGCCTTATCATGACTGTAAGCGACTACAAAAAATACATATTTCGAAACAAGTTTCATATTAATGTTGTACCCTAAAGTCTGTGCATGTTAACGAATTTTACGAAGGATAATACGAACAAGTACATGCTTTAAGCATGCAATACAGCCTCATGTCTATTCCGATAAATCCTCTTAATTTAAGTATAATTGGTACATAAATATAACAAAATTAAAACGAACCGTCGTAAGAACTGATTACTATAGCTCTTACTGGAATCATAAATAATTTTTAAATCATAAACAAAATCGTTTTCGAATATGGTGTTAACATCGATATAGAAATATCTTACCCGTGTTATGTACAAACAAGAAAATAATACATATTCTCAAATATAAGGTTACTATATATTGCTCCATAACAATTAGAAATCAAACTGAATTTACTGTTGGCATGGATACAACATGTTCACGTGACCTTTATCACATGACATACAACATGTTCACGTGACCAGTATCACATGACATAACGTGATTGAGAGTTGGGTTATATACTTAAATCAATAGAGAGATATCACATGATTGATGTTGTTACGTCACACACTGGTCATCCACGCCACATGAATACAATGATAAGTTTTACATGTGCACTGCCTTAAACGTCAGTGATATATTCATATCTGAATACAGATTTCAATTTCTTTAGAATTTAACATCGATTTTGTATACACTTATTATCATTTTTGCCAGTGCAATTTTCGAGGCTAGATGCCCTGATTAAGATTGATGCAAATTAAAACATAAACATACTAACGTTACGTGTCTCATAAATTAATACCATGATTAATAAATTAAGTACAATAGTTGTGAAAATATCCTTTTATATAATTAAGTGTTTTGTTGGTTATCATGAAATGCTATATTAAATACAAAACTGTGACTAATAAAGCCAGAATCTTACCCCCTAATCATTAGAGAAAGTTACTTCTTACTTAGATTTTCTCATCTCTGCATTTTGCATGGTCGCACTGGAAGACCTGCAGTTAAATGACATCGCAATATGACCCTCTGTATTATCGATTTAGTTAAACAGATACCATAACTCAGCTCATCATGACCGACAAGCGACTCTCTATAACTCGTTTGCTTTCTCCATACCGCACCAATCATATTTTTATCTATTTTTCATAAAGTGGAACAATCGAGCGAGATTTTTCGAATGGCGACACTGCTTGAGGAGATTTTAAAGAGCGGCGACAGACAGGGAGAGTTCGGCAGTGAAACGGCTTCATCAAGGAGTTGGGTTTACTTTTCCAATTAGCGATGTCTGACTGTTCCGACTCCCCGTCAAAGGTCTGGCGCCCGTCCTATGATTGTCTTCCTCATCATATTCGGATTATCCTCTCATCATTTTGCGCAAGATGCTCATCATACCATTCGCATCTCACCATCTTGCTACCTCATCAAGTCATCAGAAGGATCATGGTGATCATAATACAGTTAACTGGCTGGCCTCAATATCGGCTTGTTCCGTTCGCGTAATTTCGGTTGTGTCCCTGTACGCCGTGCCTTTCAATTTCTCCGCCGACCGCCCCATCATCCACCGCTCGCCTCTGCCGGCGAGGTCGAAGAGCTTCTCGCCTGATTCCGCCGAGAGGTAGCCAAGGAGGTCGCCGTCGTTCTTGCTCGGAAGCGGTCGAATCTTTTCGACCGGAAGCGACAGTAATCTCTCGCGCTGTGACAAGGTTTCACCCTGTGCAGCGCCCTCTCCGCCACCTCGTTCCGTGCTGGTGCCACTCGATCGGTGCTTGACGGCTTGGCAGACGTGGAGGCGGCGTTCGGGAACAGAATCGCGCTTGCAGGAGAGACCTTGCGAACACTCGCATCGCTGGAAGACATCCGTGAGACGATCGCGTTTCTTGGTGCAGATGTCCCCCTCTTCCAGCATCGGCTTACACATTTTGGACCAGAGATGTTGAGCGCAGCACAAACCGTCCTCGCACGATACAGATGAAGAACACTGCTCACCCTGGCGAGCTAGAAAGAACAAAAAAAAAAAAAAAAACATTGATTAAGAAAACAGACAGGAAACTCGAGTTCAGAGGGTTGTCGATTTCCGAAAGCCCCCAAACCTTTCTCATGAACTATGCCCACAATCCTGAAACACATCTGGATAAGATAATATATATATATATATATATATATATATGTAAAAGTCTGGAATCAATAACCAACCATTCCTTATTTTACAGAGTTATCGATCATGTGTATTCAATTTCTCCCGTACTATATAAACGCTCATCTCTGTCAGATTTTACCTCAAAATTGAATTGGGGTGTCAACGTACAGTAATTGAGGACCAATACCTCGCAAGAGGGCACTAGGTTATCAGTTTATTTCGGGCCTGGAACCTTCAAATTGTAAGGGAGAGGGGAGAAAGTGTACTGAATAAATCTAAAAATATTATGAAAAGGGGTGGAGGAGGGGGGAATGAGTAGTGGAAGGAGGGGAGAGGGGTAGGGTAGGGGAAGAAGGGAGACGTAGGGGGCAGAGTGAGAGCGGATAGATAAAGAGGGAGGGGAAGGAGAGGGGAAGGGGACAGAGTGATCGGAGAGGAAGAGGGAGGGGAAGGAGAAGGAAGACGAGAGAAGGACACTGAATAAATCGAATAATTATTATGAAAAACCTACCTTTTCTTAGTTTAAACTTGGTGTCCTGAAGGATACTCTCCTCCTCCTCGTTCACTTCCGACTCGAAGTTTTGCACGGCGGTGTTGTAGGCCTCGTCGAATCGGAACTGATGGGGGATGCAGCGACCATCGACACACGTGTTTCCCTGGCAACACATCTTGTTTCTATGGCAACGACGATGCGACTTTCTGCACCTGAGACATGACTTGTGGCCCTCGCCGCTGTGGCAGTAGTACTTGTACGGGCACTCCCTGTCTGCCTCACATAGCACCTGGAATGAGCAAGTGAGATTGAAATGCTTTTAAATAACATACACAATACGCTAACTTTATTAATCAATATGCAATAGAGGGTATAGTATTGATGAATTGATCTTAAATGATAATTAAAACATCATGCAATTTCCTTGTTCCTACAACAAAGATTTATATCTAAGATTATGTTTGTATAAGTATGTGTGTATATATATTTAGCCCAGAAAATGCCATTCACAAGGACTAAGGGTCAACTCGGAATGGGATACTAAAAATCGATTGTCACGCAATTGCCAATCAATTCTCTTTAAGCCTATGTTTCAACGTTATTCGTGGAATAAAATAGAATAGTCCATGTGTACTCATTATTCACGCAGAAAGCCATTAGACCTTGAATCTAATTTTGGTTTACAATTATGGTGGAGAAGGCCCATCTATGTTTCAAATTTATTGGTGGAATGATATAGAATACTTCATATTTTTAACCCGCGTTTTAGTTTACACCTATGGTAGCCTCCCGAACAAACACCCTTTATTCTCGTCGACAAGATACCGGAAATCATAATTCAATTCGATGTCCTATTTTGTTACAATCACTCTACACGAAAGGGGCAGAGAGAGAGGGAGGATGAAAGAGAAGGAGATACACAAACAAAAACAGACAGATAATCGTAGCCATCGAGTCAGCAGAGAAAGGAGGGCAGGAGTAAGAGAGAGGACGTAAAAATGGGATAATGAAATATGGCTTTACTGCAGATTTTATTCGCGTAAAAGCAACACATAAAATGTTTTATTTATTGTTCGTACACTTAACCATGATTGAAAGTCATAAATCTTCGACTCGTCTAACATGTAAAATGGATCAAAAGAGGATATGGAAACGTAATTCTATCACATAATAACCCGGGTATGATTCAAAGGGCTTGTTGTCTGGACCCAATGCTCTTTTCAGAACTATCTGTATACAAAGTTCTCCAGGGACATAATGTCATGGAATTTAAATCGAGTACAGCGCAAATGTAACAGTCTTTCATGTTTTCTTGATTAAGCAGTGTATCCAGTAGTTCCAAATCTTAATTCTATGAATTGCCATCGGTTACCCTACTCGAAACTGTTCATTTATGCAAATTGTTTAATTTCTTACGGATTAACGAAAGCAAAATCCTAAAATTCAGATGAATACCAATTCAGGGATCTATCATTAATTGAACAATAAATATCTTTCTTCCTACTTCGGGTAGAATGATACACTTCTTCAGAAGTTCCAAATCAGGAGGGGTCGTTTCAGAAGTCATATAAAATGAGGACAACACTGACAGATGATACAACGGAAGCAGAAAGGTAACAAGTTCTTAAAGAAAATGGAAAGTTGGATTTTATGCCCAAATACAGGCCTAGAGAATATGGCATTGTCTTTAAACGTTAAATACAGATATCGAGTAAATAAAATAAAACGAGCAGGGAACAGGGGAGCCAACTCTCCCATGATGATTTATAACATCTTGCGAGTGGAACCAAAATTTGTGTTCCATCAAACTACATTGATAAACAACCAAAGATGTGTTTAGATGTCTTGTATACACTGGGACTGCGTCGGAAGTAAACGAACCACACACAAGGCCCGACGTCTTGGCCGAGCATGGCGCGCGGGTGACAAGACGATGTGGGCGAGTACGCTGAGGGATTGGGTCTCAGAAATGAAAGTAGGTCCTGTTCCTTCGTTTTAAAGGTGAAATTGTCATACAAGACAGTTTCGTAAGTTTTAAAAAGTCCCAATCAAGAGGTGTAATAACATCCCTGGTAAACAAGAGTTCCCTTTCTGAATTATGCGCTTGCGTTTCATTACAAAGTATGCTTCAAAGTATTGCCACCGTCCGAACTGAATACGTTTACTTTGCTAGCTGAATACAAAGAGGATAATCACAACGCACGAGAATATGCACTTCGTAATTCATAGTTTGAATAAAGGGCTAAGAGTTGTAAACGATAGAAGAGGATGAGGGGTAATGAAGGAGTGTGGGGTGAGAGGTGTTGGGAATGGGGTGTGGTGGAGGGGTGTACATTCAAGCGGATGGGAGGCTATGTGAGGAAAGGGGGTTCCAATGACCCGATCCATCCTTGAACTTGCCAGGAGGAAACACCACATCGTCAAAAGCAGACACGTGAGCGGATTAATGGAGGGATCCAAGGTGAAAGATAATGACTGTCAATTTGAGCCCCCGTGGGTCAAAAGGATGCGGCTATTGGTGGTGGGTAATTGGTGGAGGAGGGCGTCAGGGGTGACTGAAATTGGAGCGCGAGAATGAGGAGGGAAAAAGTGATGCGAGAGGTCAAACAGGGACAAGACTCTCTCTCTCTCTCTCTCTCTCCTCTTTCTCTCTACTTCTCTTATTCCCTCTGTAGCCCCTCTTTCACACGCTCTTTCTTCTTTCTGAACTTCTCCATCTCTCTTTATTTTAAACTACCTCTCACGAACCCATCTATGTGAATTTCTATACCCATTTTGTCCTAAATTTCCATCCTCTCTCTGTTCTCTCTCTCTTACTCCACTTTCCCCTCTTTCTCCGTCCATCTCTCTCTCTCTCTCTCTCTCTCTCTTTTCCGTTCCCATCGTCTTCCCTCCCACCTTCCTGCCCCCAACCTTCCTTATAACTTTGTTTCCCGATAGTTGACGCAGAGGCACCGGGTCTGTGAACTTCGCTTTGAAGTCCACCGACTTAAATCGTATCCTCTGTTTACATGGCTTTCACACCGATCGCACGAATCAATCTTATCTTCCAAGAAGGAGAGGGAGAGAGTGGGTGTAAGGACCCGGGCGAGGAGGAATGCTTCGGCTCTTTAGGCAAAACTTTCTCTCAAGTCAAGGGCCCAATGAACTTTCGGATAGGTCTAGGCCTACATAGTTTGCAAAGTTGCAGGCACAAAACCTTTTCAGTCCAAGGAGCAAATTTTCAATTCATATCAAAATGATTTTTTTTTTTGTATCGAAAAACAAGTATGCATTCTTTACAGCAAAACGATACAAATCAACAAGAAACGTACTTGTAGTTGAAAGTTCAAAAGAATATTTGACATGAGTGATGGTTGAAATAACATTAAATGGTATAGCATAATTCGTCGCTGTTTTCACGAAGTGACGGTAGTGAAAAAAAATTGCATTCACTTTGCGTTACGATTTTCCTCACTACCGTCACTTCGTGAAAACAAGGACGAATTGTGTAGTAACGAAAGAAAAATACATTACGAGGAAAAATATACGTAGTTCTTCACAGGTAAAAAAACATTTTATCGTGGAAAAAACACTTGAAAAGAAAGTGGTATACACTTGATGTTATCACAAGCGCTGCCTTTGTTTCTTGATCTTGTCATTCTATTAACTCTGGCCTGCACTTGATGGCGGAGAAACAACCATTGACCTCTTCTCTCTGATAATGAGTTATGGCAAACTTAGGAGGATCTTGGAGAAGAGACAACACTTGTGTTGATGAAGATGCCTGAGAGACACTTTCTCGGAATATAAGCGGTTCACTTCGTATCTGTTTGTTATGAGTTCATGAAGAAGATGGATAAATGGGGTCGACAAGCCTGACATGCCCGTAAATGCTACTCCAATATTTCTGAAATCCTTTTTTTTTTAATATCATAAACAAAACAGTAGAAATGCAAAATCATATACCAGGCAAGTATATGCCGGCAATTCTAGTTCAATAAAGAACATTTATGTATGATCAAGTGATTTATTAGCAGCCTTGTTTTATACAAGATGTTTTTATTAATATATTTCTATGTAAGTATGACCGTCTGCTGAGACTCAGAAAGTTGTAAACACAGAACAACCAAGCTCGCGATATCCTTCCAAAACGCACAATTCTTACTTCCCATCCAATTTTATACTTTCCATCACTTTCCAAAAAAAGATGAACTTGCACTATGAAGATCATGCTGTTAGGGTCGGTCGACGAGGACTTACGACACCCCCACGAGGGGTGTACCGCTGCACCAACACCCCCGTGGCTCGTAGAGGTCAAAGGTCACATCTCTTTTGCCCATATCACAAATTCAATATTTGAAAAGAAAGTAGAATGAACGACAAAGGATATAAGGGATGTCCTAAGAAAAACAGTAAAGTGAAGAAAAATCCTTTCGCGTACGCTAAGCGATTTGTACTTACAATGTTTTCGTATATTACCACCGACTTTTGAAAGGATGTTACTGGAAAATCCGAGGCTCGCTTTGGATCAAAATATTTGGATAGGAATTTTTCAACCCAAATCGGCTGAAAATACTAGTGTTATTGTTGTGTGATGGAATGTGAATTTGCACACGTCTCGGTCGTAAGGATCTTGTTGGCATTTTAGGGATTCCGAGAGCCCATCACATATTTTTCATCGGACATGACTTTTGACAATTTTTACCTTGACATTAAGATATCACTACAAATCTCCATGTTTAGGGATCGAATGTCATAAGGGACCGTTTTAATGTTTACCGGTAATGACACACTCATCATTGATTTTTTTCAAGTCTCGTAAAAATGCATTTGCAAATGTTTGCAACGATTACGCAGTCGATACATTGTGTCCAAACGAATTATATTTGAGTCATATAAAAATGTAAATGCAGCCAACATGTATCGCAGTTGATTATTCCGAACGTTTTTTATTAGTTTTCCCGACATATCGCCAGCGGGCATGGCAGGGGAGTCACAATGTGAATCATTAAGTGAAATCGAGACCTAAATATAGCACACAGATATGACAATTGAAAAAATATTGAATCATGACACATTAAAACGAGAAGACCTACTCAAAATAGTAACATGATCACAATGTGCCCGCCCGAGTATGTTTTCATATCCACTGATTCCAAATCAAACACCAAAACATCAACATCTCATCACACCAATTTACGATTTAATAAATTCCATTCATCTGTTTCCTTCTTTCAATCAAAGTTCAAGTAACGGTCTTTCTGATTTTGTAAGTGATGACATTTTCTTCATATCGTCTGATTTGGT